GCCCGGGCGTCCCGCGTCAATGAGAAGGGGAGGCCCGGGAAGTCCTGGGGGAACCTGGGGTGGGAGTCCTGAGAGACCACAGCTAGGGGTTAGGAGGCGAGGGAGAGGGGGACACACTCTGTGGGCGTCTATGAACTCGGGGAGGGGGGATGTCTGAAAGAGGTTAAGGTATAGTAACCAGGGCTTGGGCCGTGCGGAGGAGGCTTCTCGGGTACACCCCACCCAACCTTGGCTTCTCTCCACACTCGCCTCTGGAATAGCTTACCCTTCCCGATAGTCCCCTCATCTTCAACCCCTTCGGCCGGGCTGGGGTTTGGGAGTACCAGTGTGCTGGGAATAGGCCGCCGCACTTGGGGGCCCAGGGATGACCTGTTTTCAGCTATGAGGGTTTCCAGGGGTTCTGTCTATGATTCTTGCTTTTAAAAGTGGGATTTAGAGCTGAGGCAAGGAGTCCGACCCAGCACCTCCTCAGCACGAAAGCGAATTGGTTGCCCTGATTGTATGGATTAGATCCACTGGGGTGAACTGGGGTTGGGTCGCCAAGTTAGGTTTTGGAGGTGCTGCTTGGTTAGGATGGGAACATGGGGCACTGGCGAAAGGGAGGGAGGCAAGGAGATGTCGGAGTGTCACACACGCACACACACGCCCGGGCTGGGGACGGCGTGTGGCTCCAAGTGTGAGCAGGCTTGCGCGGCTGTCAGTGTGCGTGTGTCTGAGTGTGTGATTTGTGTGTCTGCGTCGACAATCGTCTGGGGGTGGGAGCGGGCGACGGGTCGGGGAGGGGGCTGCGGTCACTGTCCGCGTGGTCGGCCCCGTCTCGGCTGGGGTGGCTGTCGGCGCCGCCGCGGTCTGGGCGGGTGTCAGGGCGGCCCTGTGGTTTCCCGGGGTGTGTGGCTCAGCGGCTGGGTGCCGGCTGCGGGTCCAGCTCCTCATTCTGCTCAGTCCTTGCTGCCCTTGTCTTCTCCTCCCCGCCAAGCCACCGTGTATATCACCCCGGCCGCCTCCGTGTGTGTCTGTGCGTTGGGGGGATCCCTGGGGACACGGGGGTCACTGTCACACCTGCTCAGGCTGCAGCGGCGGCACTGCCCCTGGCTCCCCACTCCGGGGGGCTACTCAGGAGCAAATGGCGAGGCCCCACGGGAGAGGACAGGGAGGGTCGGGCGGCCGCGACCCCCCAACCTCCCGGGGGAGGGGCTGCCGCTTGCTGCTCCGCTCTTTGTTGTTTGGGGCTCTGCGCCTCCCCTTCTCTGCCTCCTTGCGCCCGGAGTGTCAGACTGGGGGTGGGGATGAGCCAACGACGCCCCCTTCTCGCTTCCCATGGAAACCTCGGGGGTGGGGATATGGCCCCTCCTCCCCGGAGCGGGACTCAGAGAACTCCGGGGGGCGCTGGGGGCTGATTTTCCTGTTCTATCTAGCTCATCCCCCTCCCAAAGACTCACACGTCCGCCCCCGCCCCGCTAAAGTCTGGCGGGGAGTGGAGACCATGCAGGTGAGGGACCCTGGGTTTCCCACCATCAGGGCACCACCACGTTCTTAAGGGAAACCCGGAGCCAGGGGGATGCAGGAATAGCGGGGGATGGGGGAAGAAGGGATGTTGTAGATCGGGATCCCCTCCCCCGCATACACCTGGGCGCAGGTGAAAGTCCTGGGAAGGGGGTGGGGGAACCCGTGTTCTGAGAGCCTCCTTTCCGTCTTCCCTGCTCCCCGCAGATCTGGACCCAGCCAGAGTTGGGGAGGGGGCGCGTACCGGGGCCGGGAGGCCGCCGCCGCCCCCGCTCCGGCCTTCCCTCCGCCT